CCCCCCCCCCGGAGGGAGGAAGGATGGTTGCGGGAGCAGGGAGGTTTATATCTCAGCTAAGGGAGCCATTTTAGGGTTTGCAAGAGACTTGATTCTGGAGGGGTTCCCAGTAAAAATTAAATAAAAAATAAAAAAATAAAAAATAATAATTAAAGAAATTTAAAAAAGAAAAGAAAAGAAAACGCTTTACTGAGTCAGGTAAGCCAGACCCAAAAAGAGGAATTTGATATGTATTCACTCATAAATGGATTCTAGCCATAATTAAAGGTCTTTGAGCCTATTATTTGTGATCCTAGAGAAGCTGGATAGGAGGGTGAACCTGAAGAAAATTCGGGTAGTTTTCCTCCTGGAGATTGGAAATAGACAAGAGTCCCAGGTAACCTTGGGTGCATGGGGCGGTAGGAGGGTTGTTGGAAGGGGAGAGGGTTAGAGAGAAGGGAGCAGGGGAGGAATGGGGAATGCTGGGGGGAGGGGGAGGGGACTGGGAGGGGAGGAGGGAAGAAGGATAGATATGGGATCAGGGAAGAATATATCTCAACTAAGGGAGTCAGTTTAGGGTTTACTAGAGCCTTGATTATAAATGGGATCCCAGGTCCAAGGAGAGATTCCCCAGATTCTTCTCTGGACAGAGGAGAGGGTGCCTGAACTGGCCTTGGCCCATAACCATACTGATGAATATTTTGCTTATCACCATAGATCCTTCATCTGGCGATGGATGGAGATGGAGACGGAGACCCACATTGGAACACTGGACTTAACTCCCTAGGTCCAAATGAGAAGCAGAAGGAAAGAGAATGTGAGCAAGGAAGGCACGATCAGAGGGAACCTTCATCCGAGGATGGATGGCGATACAGACGGAGACCCACAATGGAGCACCGGACGGAGTCCCCCAAGGTCCAAATGAGGAGCAGAAGGAGGAAGAACATGAAAAAGGAAATCAGGACCGCGAGGGGTGCGATCACCCACTGATACAAGGGCACTGATCTAATGAGAGTTCACCAAGGCCAGTGACTGGGACTGAGCGAGCACGTGACCCAGCCAGATTCTCTGAATGAGGCCAGATTCTCTGAATGAGGCCGGATTCTCTGAATGTGGCTGGCCCGGAGTCTTTCTGAAAAGCCATTGACAATGACACTGGGACTTGTTTCCTCTGCTTATACTGGATTTCTGGGATCCAGTCTGTTTGGATGCTCACCTTCCTGGACCTGGAGAGAGGGGGGAGGAGCTTGAACTGCACACAGGGTGGGAGACCCTGACTGCTCTTGGGGATGGAGAGGGAGGAGGAGAGGGAGTGGGGGGAGTGGGAGGGGGTTGGGAGGAGGGGCGGAAATGGAGACTTTTGTATTTTAATAAACTTTGAGGAAAAAAAAACCAAAGTACAGAATTAGAACAGTTCTAATGACAGAAAAGAGAAAGAAGACAGGTCAGGAGAGGCAGCCGTGTCTTAGGCATGACTGGAGCCCCATTCCCTGCCATCCCACGCCTCTGTACTGCTCACCAGAGGCAGCGTCAGCTCCCTCCCATCCACAGTCAGGATCTGTGGCTTTCCTCTCAGCAGCTCTCAGCTGCTGTGGAGATTTTAGGTTGGCCACAGAGGCAAGGAAGACCTACCTTGAGGATGTTGTTTCTTCTACCAGAGGTAACAGTGTTCCCATATTCAAGGCCTTTTTTTCAGTTTCTCAACAAAGTGCCTAAGGGAACAGAACAGAGTGACTACGATGTACAGAAAATTTCCAAATGCCTAAATGAGGCCCCGAGGAAGTGTGGTCTCTGCACACGGGGTTTCAGAGACACCTAGAGTGAGAGGAGGCACACCCTGAAATCCCAACTCCCTTCCATCCTCATTCCCGCAGAAAGATTCGCACTCTTCAGCCAACCAGCACATTCGGCAAACAGCAGCTATCAAGAAGTATAGCTAAGCTGACATGGTGCTTGCTTGTCATCCCAGCACTCAGGAGACTGAGGAAAGAGTTAGTGATCCTTAGAACCTCGAAGAAACAGGCTATACTGCTCAACTTCAAAACAGGAAATCAAAACAGCGGCCTCTTTCTTCCACTCCCAATAACAATATGGAACTTTGCTGATGCAGCACCTTGGTGTTTGTTTCTCATCAGGACACAGCCTCACCTTAGAGATCAAGTGATGATGACAGGAGTCACCAGGGGTGCTCAGAGGTATGAGGCCGTGTGCCCTGGTGACCCTAGTGGGATGCTGGACCCAGGGATGCTGCTAACCTGCATCAACACATCAGTCCAAGAACCAGGAAGGATTCACGACTGTGTCACAAACTGCTTCAGAGGAGGGTGTGCTCAGAAGCTCCGTGTGACAAACAGGTGTCTGGGAGGACCCGTGAGTTCCTGCTAAGACTGACTTGTCTTTGGAGTGGGGAGGACATGAGGGAGTTTTTTATGATCTTGAGTGAATGCCTTCACCTTACAGAATATGAAAAATGGAAAACAAGAAGAACCCATGTTCTAGATGACCCCTGATATAGGAACTGCACAACCTGGGAAATGGAGAGTGTGGGACCTGAACTCTTTCCTGAACCTGAGTTTGCTCCCCCTCTATGGAACAGGAAGGTGACGCGCCTACTCAGCATACACAGCCTTGTGACGATCAGTGACGTCATGCCCAGGAAACCCTTCCCCAGGGCCTGAGTTCCTCGGGTTCTGTTTTACCAAACTCAGGTATAGACATGACCAGTGACACCTAGACCATTTATTCCCTTCACCAAATACAAGCACTCTTGTCATTGGAGCTATAAGAGTCATTGTCTGGGGACAGTTCTGTAATCTTGTATTTATTCTGCATACCCAAGTATGATGAACAGCCGAGGGACTGATATTTCACAGTCCTCTAATGACTTGGTGGCTACAGGGAAGGCTAACCTCTTTCCTATAACACTCAGTGACCTAAAGGATGAAGAGAAGAGGAATCTGGGCTCTGCCACACACCAGTGTTAAGCCTGTGACTGGTTGCTTGAGCAGAGAAAGGGCAGGTACTCACCAGTGTGGACACACCCAGCTTACACCTTTCCTGACAACTCTTTGCCTAATAGCTGGGCCAGGTAGACACAGACAGACCCAAGTCTCCTACTCATAAAATTCCTTATTTGTGATACCATCCCTTTTGGTTCCTGTGCCTTTGGGTAGCAAGGAAAAGCACGTGTATGAGCTGCCAGAAACCTGATTAATACGATGGCATTGTCAAGTTCCGTACTATCTGCAAAGGTGAAGCATGAACAGGAGGGCAGGTCGAGTGAGGGACCAGTCACGGGAAAGGAGATGAAAGCGCAGGTTCTCATGTTAGAAATTTGTGATGCAGCATGAAGGCTTCTTTAGATGTCCATGTTAGTGCTGGGCTGCTGCCATTCCCAGGACAATGCTGGAGGCCCAGGATAATTTGTTGTTTCTTTCGACAGTCTAGTCAAGAGCATATAAAATTTGGAATCACTCTAGGGGCAGGAGACTGACATCTTCATGTCTAAAAGTGGAGCTGTTCTAAGAGAGAAAAGAAAAGGCAGGGAACATCAAAACTCATCTCCTGCCATCCTGCCATTCCAGCAGTTTAGTGTGTGTGTGTGTGTGTGTATGTGTGTGTGTGTGACAGACCTCTCCCTAAAGAAATTAGAGCAAACAAAACCACATGGGAAGGTTCAACTCGACAAATTTGGTGAACAAACTCAGCCTGGGATAGTCTCACTGGGGTCGTAAGGTGCTAGAGTAGGGACTCGGGCATTGTGATGGCAGGCAGTGCTCATCAACTCAGTGTCTATCGAGCTGACGTCGGCAGGCACACTTGAGGGACAGTGAGGAAGGCAGACTCAGTCCCTGTTGTCTAAGGCTATCTAGGTCCAGGGCTGGGAGGCAGGAGAAGGGAGCGCTCCTCTGAGACCACAGATGAGACCGTGCCCCAGAGCTCTGCACAAGCCTGTCCCGAACACTGCTCAGGAGTCAGGTGTTTTATTGTAAGAGTGTGGTGCACTCTGACGGCAAGCTGGCCACAGTGTTGACCTGTTTGCTCTGACCCCACTGGCAAAGAAAGAAAAAGTGAGACATGAACTCTTGGATGAAAAAAAAAATGTGGCATTAACTAGATTAAACACAGAAAAGGGCACTGGGGCCTTTAAACTTGCCACAAATGGTTGCATGCAAATTGCCTCTCTTTTTAACTCTAGTGAGATTCAGCCCATTTGAAGCTCCAGCTGTCAGACACTCTGCAGTACTTGAGGGTTCTGGTGGTCTGAGCTCCGGATTTTAATAAGGCTACTGCCTGTCACCAGATAAACAGGTAGTTAGGAAAGCAAGTTCCTTTGCTTGTCTGGGAACTTATGTTCATTGATTTTAATGTGGACATTGCTAAAGTAATGATGACTATGGACATGGAGATCCAGGCTTGTTGACCTGCAGTTCCTCGGCTGAGCAGGAGGGGAGTCACACCAGCATTGCAGAGTGACAACTCTTAAAAACAAGTTTAATTTTTTAAAAAATGGGATTTAATCAATGCCTTTTTTAACACAAATTTACAAGGAATTTTAACCTGAAGAAGAGATTCCTTTAAAACACAACAGAATTCTACTTTAAAGAGTGTGCTTGCCAGGAGCTCATTATGAAACAGGTCTGCCATGAAGTAGTGGTGACCCAGCTACTTCAGCCCCCAAGTGCTGAGGTGACACACCTGAACACAGTCCTGGCACTGGCACTACTTTAGAGTCTGTCTGGAGGCTCACAGCAGGGAACACGGTCACCCCTGTTCCCGAGACATCAAACACAGTCCCTTCTCTCTCCTGAAGGTCCAGTTCTAACTGTAAACCCCAGGTCCAGGAGGGTCGCACACTGAGCCCTGAGTAGGACACAGCTGCCTCTCCATCCACGCCAGCCAAGGCAACCCCTGCTCATGGAGGGGTGACAGATGTGGCAGCCAATTCCCCTCACACCCAGCGCCACTGTGGAGCAGCGCTAACCTGGAAATGCTGCTGAGGAGAACTGAGTGGGGGCTGCCACTGCAGTGAAGCATCCCAAGATGCTCTGAGGGTGCCTATCTATACACAGCTCTTTCTCTGCTTCTGCTGAGGTGCTCTGGGAGGCCCTGGGTTCCTTCTATTCTGTGCTCCTAAACACTCGCTACCCCAGTGAGTGCAGGGCAGAGTCTCCCTGTTATTCCATGGTGGAAGGTGGAGATCTATTTAGTGAGAGTGGAAATGCTCTGCCCAAAATCATAACCCCAGATCTATCTGGGCCAAGTCCAATGTATGGTAACAAAATTTAATGCAGAATTTCCCTATGCCTCCACACTGTCTGCATTGTTGGGGGATATTTGGTCACCCAGTGAACTCCAATTCTGCATTTGTGTTAATTAAATAAAATTAACCTTCAGTCAGGAGGCTGTGTTAGCCACTAGTTGCCAGAAAGTAATCATTGAGTCTCAGAGGGCATCCGGGAAAGAGAAATACAGGAAGTAGTAGGGTGGTGTTTGGAGTGATGCCAGTTTTTCTAGTTTGGCAAAGCTGAAGCATGGGTCTTCTGTGGATGCCAGCAAGCTGGTACTCACCCTCTGTGAGCTAGCAGGTTTTCACCCCAGCCTTTGAATCTTAAGTCTTATTCATAATTAGAAAGAGATTTAGTTAAAGCATGCCACTGGAAAGCCAGTGACTACACCAAGCTTTAGGGATAAGTGCATGACCCAAACTTCCCACTCCTGAGATCTGAAACGCCTTATACTCTGGTGACCATGGTCACTGTGGTCAGATTTCTTGCTTTTGATGTGGCAGATGGGTCACAGTGTCTGCCCTCCAGTCACCCTCTTGGGCACAGAGGCTCAAACTGTTGGAATCTCCGTATCCCCACTTAGTGAGCAATTTAGTGAGCAACTGGCCTTTGAGCTCCCAAATGAACTTTCCCACTAAATATAAACCTTTACTGGTGTTGCACAGCACAAGCCAGGGCCATTCTGGGAAGCCAGCACTGCCCTCATGTCTCTGTGCTGCTCACACTGACCTTGTCTGACACATGCCAATCATACTCCTTCGTGGGCACTGGGACTTCAGCTGCTCAGCTTCAGGAAAGATGATTGTATTTAGAGTCTGTGATACAAAGCAGAAACGAAGGATCAGAAGAGTTCTATTGTCAGCTGGAAGGAAAAGAAGACAGAGGTGAGGCGTCAGTGTCTCCCACAGGATGTGAACCCCTGCCCTGTCATACCATGCTCATCCCTATGGAGAGACAGCATTAGCTCCTCCCACTACCACCCCGCCACCCCACCCTCCACTGCCATGTTCAGGGTCTGTGGCTTTGGTCTCAGGTACTCTGTTCCACTCTGCAGACTTCAGGTGGAACACAGTGACAATGAAGAACCACCCTGAGGATGTTCTTTGTTGCTGCGGTGGTGGCAGATGATCAATATCTGTAACATTAAGCAATTTCTCTATAGTCTAAGGAAGAGACCAGGATGACTAAGGTGCACAGAAAATGTGCAGATGCCCCGAAGAGACTTGGCCCCTGAACGAAGGTTTCCAGAGGTCACTGAAGTGAGAAGAGGCACACTCTGGATGCCCTTGTCCCTCTCCTCGCCGTGCCTAAAGAGAGAGGCCTCTGGTCCTCCCTAAAATCGGGCTCCAGCATCTGAATGATTCGCGCCTGTCATTTCAGTGCTCGGGAGGCTGTGGGTGGAGGCTGTGGGTGGAGGCTGTGGGTGGAGGCTGTGGGCCACGAGAACTAGAGGGAACAGTCCACACTCGTCACTTCAAAACAGAAAATAAAGACATCTGTCCCTTTCCGCCACTCTCGAGTCACAGAATGGATCTCTGCTCATACAGTAATTGGGCATGTTACACTCCCCCTCAGATAGCTCTGGGTAAAGTCGGGAGAGACTGGGATTGTGAGCGCTGTTGTCACCGATACCACGCAGTCTTCGCTACGGCTTCGGGGCTCACTCCCTGTGACAGCTCTGAAATGTCATACGTGTATGCCTCCCCGAAGGTGATGAACAGGTCAGGAACGGTCTTACTGTGGCGATCCACACAGACAGCGATTGGTCCATAGTCACCTGGTGACTGTGTGACTACAGTGAAGCCTAAGAAGGAAATCCCTTTCCTATTACAGGAAGAGGAGAGGAGGGAGCTGGGCTCTGTCACACACCAGTGACAAGCCTCTAACTGGTCGCCTGAGCAGAGAAAGGGCAGTGAAAACACTCACCAGTGCGGACCCACCCTGCTTACCTGCCGACTGCTTGGTCTCACAGCTGGGCCATGTGGGCACAGACACAACCAAGTCTCCTACTCGTGAAATTCCTGGGTCATGACAACACCACCTTTGGTCCTCATGTCTTTGAATAAGGACAAGCATGTGTGTGAGCAGCCAGAAATCTGATTAAAAAATGACATTGTCAAGTTCCATACTGTCCGCAAAGGTGAGAAGCATTTTCAGGAGGGCAAGAGGAGTGAGGGACCAGTCACAGGAAGGGATGAAAACTGCAGGTTCTCACGTTAAAATGTGTCCTATAAGGGGAAGTCCTCGTCCGCATTGCCCTTTATGGGCTGACGCCATGCAGATGATGGTGTTTCCACAGCTAACATGGCGAGCACAAGAAAGGCCTTGGTTGAATTCGATTTTGTGGCCAAGTTCGTGGGTAAGTTCTTCATTCACTCTTGTGGCAGGAGACAGAGATGGGGTCATTCTGAGACAAAAGAGAGAGGGGGAGATAACATCTAAGTTCTGCAGCAGCCATTCCAGTGGTATAGCACAGAATATGTGAATATTACAAACCTCTTCTCAAAATATCAGAGCAGATAAAACACTGATGCAGTGACTACTCAAATAAATTTAGTGAACAAATCCAGCTGGGGACATTAATAGTAAGGAAGCAGAGGGGTGGGGTGGGCACCAGGGATGGCTGCGTCACTTGAGAACGTAGAATAGAGTAGCTCTTGAGTAAAACTTAGAAGTGATATTATGAACAGTCTCGATATTAAGATTATCACTAGAAGACTAAGTAGCTATGAGTAAGACACACGTTGAGGGGTTGTGTATAAATATAAACCCTGCAGTCACCAAACATGGGCTTTTCCTGGTGTCACCAAGGCTATAGAGGGCAACTCAGCTGGACAGGATCCCAACTCATGCCTACTACAGTATAATCACAGCTAGAAGCAAACGGTGTCAAGGCTGGGTGACCTCATTAATTTAGTAAGTATCTATCCTACTCAAGTCTGTAGCCACACTCCAGGGACTGTAAGGAAAACCTTGTTTAAGGACTCCAGGGACTAGGGCTGAGAAGCAGCAGAGGGAAAGAAATCTTTGAGAGCTGTGAGCTCCCTGTACCACAACACTGCGCATGCCAGTATTGAACTCTGCTGGGGAGTGGGTGTGTCTGTGAGAAGTGTGATGTATTGTCTTAACAGTATTGATACTTTTGCTGTGAGCACACTGTAGATGCAAGAGACAAAAGGCGAGACACGAGCCCTCGGGGAGAAGATGCGTCGCGAACAGGGAAAGGTGGTATGATAGGAAGATCGAGAGGAAGGTGGTACGGTAGTGAGCTTTCTGTCGTGTAAACTCCAGAGAGCCTACTATAAAGAGAAAAGGCTTATCTTGACTCAGTGCTGGAGGCTTCAGTCCACAGTCATTTGGTCCTGGGGATTTTTGTCCTGTGTTAAGGGAGGGTTGTCATGGCAAGGAGCACTCAGTAGAGCAAGTTTCTCCTCCATAGACTGGACAAACAAGAGAAAGAGGGCACTGAGGATGTACTGCAGTGACTTGCCTAGCTTGCACAAAGCCCTTTGTTCCACCTCCAACACCCTATGATACTTGGTATGGTGATACATACCCAAAACCCCAGTGTTTGTGGAGGCAGGAGGATCAGAAGTCCGTGGACATCCCTGCTACATAATAAGTTTAAGGCTGATGGAGTTACAAGAGACCTATGTTTAACCATATAGGGAGTGAGAGAGGAGAGAGGGGGTAGGCTGGAGCACCTTATCCCTTGAAGGGCATGCCCTCAATGGACAGATGCCTATATCACTCCCAAAGGACCCATCACCTTCTAATAGAACTCAGCTGGGGACTAATCCTGAACTACATGGAGCTGTAGAAGTATTCCTGATCCAAATATAGCATCCATAGGGGCCATTTTCATGGGAATTTGATGTTTACACATGTGACTATCACATTGCTATGCTCAGTTCCATGTAGATAATTGCTGTGTGCCCTTCCCTGGTCCTTAGCTTCTACAATAAGCATCTATAACATTTTCTATCCATAGTTCCAACACTTAATTCTAGCTTACACTCTCTGTGTTTACTCTCTTATGTTAATTTTGTGTTCTGCTGGGGTTTTTTTTATCATGCCCAAGAGTTTTCTGATGGAGTCTTTAGATGACACACATAGCATCACACCCTCTGCAAATCTTGGATCCACCCCTTCCATTCTCACTTGTTTCCCTTTCATCTCTTTTCCTCATCTTCTTTCTGCAGCGCAGACTTCAGGTGGAACACTGAATGAGAGTGAAGAAAGTGAGCATCCTCATTTCGTCCATGTTTGATAAATGGACGTTTCTCTCCCGTCTGCCCAGTCCCAAATAACAAACTCAAAGGCTGGATACTACTTATAAAGTGCTCAGTTGATAGCTCAGGCTTGTTACCAGCTAACTCTTACACTTAGTATATATTTCTAACTATACTTTGCCATGTGGCTTGATATCTTTATTAGCATGGCACATTCATTTTCCTGCTCCCTCTGCATCTGACTGATGATTCCTCTGACTCCGCTCTTCTTCTTCCTATCCTTCTCAGTTTGGCTTTCCTGCCTAACTTTATCCTATTCAGCTATTGGCCAGTCAGCTTATTTATTAAACCAATCACAGCAACAAATCTTCACAGTGTACAAGAGAATTTTTCACAACAATATTTAGTGACAATGGCTTGATTTTTTTTCCTATTTGGTCTAATTTTGGCTCTTGGTTTGTCACATACCAATTTATACCTATTACTGTGTTGAGACCTATTCCTTATATTCCAAGTATCTCCTAGGCTTTCACCATGAAAAAGCTTTTAGTACCCGAACTGGAGTGACCATGTGACTTCTGCCTTTGAGGTCATTTATTTGACATATTACATTAATTAACTAGCATATTTAAAATCATCCCTGCAATTCTGGGATGAAGACGACTTCATTGTGGCGAATTACTGTTTTGATGCTTTGTAGAATTCCATTTGCAAGTATGTTTATGAACAATTTTTTACATCTCTGTTATCAGCAAGTTTGATTTTCTTGGGCCATTGTAGGATGAGTTTTTCTCACCCTCAACTGGGGAGGTTCTGGAATATTTGAAGTAAAATGCTGCCGTGTAGCAGTTTACTCCAAAACTAAGATAATTCCATCCTGCCAGAAAGATCCTTTAGACAGAAACATAACAACCCCAAATAGCTTCAGGGAGTCCCTAAACTGACCAGATTCACTAAGTCCCTTCCTCCCAATAGTAAACAACAAAGACCGCTGTAGCTCTTGGATGGCAAGCTGCAAAGGAGCATGTGACCAGATCGACTGCCGGGAAAAGCAGAAACCAGTGGAGCTGCCAGGAAAAGATGAGACCAGCTGAGCCACCAGGAAAGGACACTTTTCCATATATTGAGCTGCCTGCAGGCTGTGCAGTGTGTGTGCACCAGATTTTCAGCTTTTGTGAGCAATCACCATGCCGAGGTATGCTTCAGCAACGCAGCAGTCTTGGAGTAATTTCTGCTCCTGTAAGTAACCCTCACACTCATTCCTGTAAGTAACCCTCACACTCATTCCTGTTGTGGGAGTAACTTCCGCTGCCTCAACCAATAATCACTGAAGCAGGAGCCCACAGTGCAGCAGGGAGCGACTTCCGCTCCGTCAGCCAATAGCTGCTGAAATACCAGCCCACTGGGGCGTGGTATATTTCTCTTTTAAAAAGAGAAGCAGTTCCGGATAAGGTCTCTCTTGGTTCCGGCTCTTGGTTCCGGTGCTCGGTCTCGGCTGCTGCTCCCGGCTCCTGCTCCAGCGACTAGGCTCCCTTCCTGACGGTTTATGGTGTATGTAAGTTTTACCCCCCGCCAAATAAATAACCCCTTAAAACATAACTGGTGTGGGATTGATTTGTTAATAATTGGCGCCCAGCGTTTGGTTTAAGAACCGCCCCACCCCCCCACCCCCAGCTCGGCCTCCCAGGATACACAGGTCCGGACAGTCTCTGCCAGCTTACTTTGCCCTGTTCGGCACGGATTTTTAAATTTCTCCTTGCAACGTGAGTCAAAGAGCTCACAGCGCAAGCTCCCTTTGAAGTTCCAGCAAGCTGTTTGAAACCCATAACTGATTAGGAGTGCTGAAAGCAGCTTGACCCTTAATCCCAGCACAGGGACACGGGGCCCAAAGCACTAGGCCTCTTTAGCAACAGCGCAGTGGCTGTGTCACGACCCTCTGCATCCGGTTGAACAGAGCAGCAGGGCCTTGTTTATTGCCTTGTTTATTGGCCACTAGAAGCTCTCTGACCTTTTGTGATCTGTGGATTTAACCTCTGGATTTGAGTGTATATATTCTAGAGTTTACTTCCTCAATCAACACCACTGCCACGTGGATTCAGGTGCGCCCCCACCTCCTACTGGCAGGCAACGGTCATTACAGGTAAGATTTTTCTTTTCGGTTGAAAATAAATACATACATACATACATACATACATACAAGTACAATTTCCTTTGATTGAAAATGTCGGAAAATATTACTATCCAAAAGTTCAATGGTTTTTTCAGTTGCGCTATGGAGGATATTCTGAAGGATGTCTCAGATATTCCTCTTACTTTGTTATTCCTGGGATCTGTTGCTTTTCTGGTGTTTGGCTATTTTATAAGAAAGATACAGTCCTTACAGACTGAATCTACAATGCTGAGGGCAGAGATTAAAACCTTAAGAACAATTCAGACTGATACCAACCTCCTCAAAAAAGAGTTTGGAGATTTCAAGGAGGAAACTAGATCAGAGTTTGGAGTTTTCAAACAGGAGACTAGATCAGAGTTTGGAGTTCTCAAGGAGGAGAATAGATCTTTGTTTGATATGACTCGGTCAACTGGCCAAAATATCAAGAAGGTACAGTCTGATATTGCTTCTTTAGAAGGGAGCGTCACTGCCCTGGAGGAGGGGACAACCAAAATGACGCATAACCTCCAGTCCATGACTGTAAGTGCTGAAACATTAGCTGAGAGGATTATAACCATTGAATGTGAAAATCGTACTTTATCAAAAGGGTATGATAGATTAATTGACAGGATTTCCATACAAGAAGGCACAGTACATGCCATGAGGATTATGTCCAAGGAGGATATCGTGTCTCTGACGGACAAGCTCCATGCCTTAGAATCGTTAATGAAGGCTTTGGAGCATAATACTGGACAGGAGATTCAGGACTTACAGAAGGCAATGGTGAGCAGATTTAATAAGATTGAGGAAATCATAGACTCTGATGAACAGGAGCAAAAGGTAGAAAGGCAACCTTCACCTCAAAAAACTCTCAGTCTACATAGAGTTATACCTGCCTTTCCAGTAATAACATCAGAAAAGATAACTGGCTCCAAAAACCCTAAGGTCGTTAAAGAACATACATGGGAGCCTATACGTATGAATGATCTGAAAGAATTTAAACAAGCAATTGTGAATTATGGACTA